TTTATTAAAATTTTTTAAAAACTTATTAAAATTTTAAATATGCAGGCAAATTTGCCTACGTTACAATTTAAGGGATAGTTTTGATAGTTTTGATAATATTGGTATCTTTATCTTTTTCTCTTTTCTTTTTTTTTGATTCTTTTTTTTTTTTGCATTTCTTCTTATTTTTATTATATTATAAAAACTATTTATATATAAGGATGGATCCCTAAACTATTTAGTATATAAAATTTCACAAATCAATTATGTCCCTTTTGAAGGGACATAATTAATTATTTATTATTTTAATAGAAACATAATTCAAAAAACACTTGGATCAAGTGACTTAAATTGCAAAAAACCTTTGTAAGTGATTTTTTTTTGATCTTATATTTAAAAAAAACTTTTTAATAGTGAATGACATTTGAATTATATTTTTGCCTTTAATTTAGGGACCTATCTTTATTTATATCAATACTATTATACTTACTAAACTAAATACTTTATCAAAAATATATTTAAACAAAGTTGTTAGGTTTAATATTTGTTTTAAATCAATCTTTATATATAATATTATTATAACAATATTTGTAAACCTATTGGTTTATAATACAGTAGTTAGTGCTTCACAAATAAAATCACAAGATATCAGTTTAACTTCAAATAAAGGTGATTAAATAGTATTAATATGCTTATATAAAGCTATTTTACATGCTTATCCAGCAAATATTGAGATTATAACCTTCAAGAAAGATACTGTAATATAAAAATCAGCTGATTGGTGCTATTATGATTGTCAGAAGTTGTTCTATAGTAATTGAATCAAGTAAAGTTGAGGCACTTGTTCAATTTTTTAATTAAAACTTCTCGCATATTTAAATATGCAAACTGGACTGTACTTTATTCTAATCAATTCCAATCGATTGTTTTTTATCTTCTACTAGCTATCAAATAAGAAGCCTTAAAGCAAGCACTGTACTGACACTAATGTCTTTTGTGATATGGCTTTCTGACAGCTTACTATATATATATATATTATGTAAAGGTCTCTTTGCTACATTAGCTATATAAGCAAAAAGGTATAATGTAATAGGTAACTTATAGAAATAGTTAATAATAGTTCACTGTTTTTATATAATATGAATCAGTAAGTTGTATGATTTAAAACTAGTGATAGGATTTTCATCTCCTAAATAGGTCTATCTGAAAATAATGTAATATATCTCAAGAGTAAATAGTATGTTACTAGATATAAAAAGTAGATAAGCTAGTATTTAGCTATTATAATAGCAATAAAAAATGTTTGATATATTGGAATTGATATAGCTTTAATAAAAACCTGTATCTAATATTGTTCTATTACTAAAAAAAAAACAATATTTGCTATATTATTTCAAATTTCTTAAAAGTTTTTATTCAAAAAACTGAAATCAATTTTTTTTTTTAAATAATTATTATTTTTTAATTATTCAATCAAATTTTATTAAAACATAAAAACAAAAACTAAATTTGTTCTAACTAGTTTTTTAATATAATAATAATAATATTATTATTATTATTAAACAATATTAATTACACTATAATTTTTTTATATTAAAATATATATCAACAATTAAAAAACTTAGTAAACTTTAGTTTTTCTTATAGTTAAACAAAAAATTCTTTTGAAAATATGATCTTTACTATTATAAATTTTATTGTTGATTTGATTTAGTTTTAACTCTAATTATTTATTATTGTATATATATTTTTTTATTGTTTACTTTTTTATATATTATTCAAATTTATAAAAATTTTTTATAAAATTTTTTGAATAAATAAGCATAACATACTATTTTTTTTTTTTTTTTTTAATTGCAAACAGGCATTAAATGCGAAACTTTTATTAAACAAGAGTTTATAGCCATTATATTAAGAATCTTTATATATTTAGAAAACTGTAAATTAATCCTAGCCTATCACAACTAACTAATAGTACCAACTGTCACCAGGTGAGTGGGTTCATATTAGTAGTGTTGAATGGCTAATGCCTATTCAAAATGATGATGTTAGGGCAGGTGAGAATATTTTTTTAGTAGTATGAAAGATTTTCAGGAATTTAGTCTTGATTTGATAAGTTTTTGTTGAGTCTTTGTGTAATGTTGTTGTTGTTCCTAACAGGTTAAAACCGGTTTGGTTCTTGTTGAATTGGGGTGTCAAAGTTGGATTAGCTGTTGAGATTGTGTAGATCGTTTGGAGGGGTTGAGCTGGTTTTGGTTTTTGATTTTGAAAAAAATTTTGAAGTTATTGAGGTGGCGCAGTAAAGCGTACCATATTGTTGTTTGGGAGGGTTTGGTTAAGACAAGTAGGAGAACTCAAAACTTTACTTGAATGTATTTTTAGGAGAAAATTGGTGATGTTGAGGATAGTGAGGAGAATGGTTATCATGAAAGTAATAAAGGAGGAGGTGCATAAAGACAAAGTTAAGAAAGAGGACTGCCACGGGCCTTTCCCCATGCAACCAAAGAACAAACAAGACTCCCAAACTTGTTTGGCCTTTGACCAGAGGTCCTATCCCAATGCAACAGTGGTCTTTAAAATCCTTATGTCCTTGAGCTTATGGCATAGTTGGCATATTAAAGAGAGAAAAGAAAGTGCTTCTTTTAAGAAAATTACCATATAAGGAAATTTTCAAGAAATCAGTGGTGAACAGGGTGAGAGTTTTTTTTTTTCCTAGTAAAATAATCACATAACATACTATTTAGATATAGTTAGTATATAATATATATATGATAAAATTGAATTTAAATATTTTTTAAAAATTATATTATTATATATAATAAAGATTAACAATACAATCACATATATAATATATAATATTGTTTTGAATTTCTTTTTCAATATTAGTTAGATATATATATATAGGCAAGCTAATATTTAACTTTCTAAAATACCAAAAGAAATGTTAGGTCTTTACAATATACAGTATATCTTGTTATATACAAATCAAATAAAGAAATAATATTTACTTATAGAAAAAACTTTCTTCAAAAAACAATTAATATTCTAATTCTAATATAAAAATATTTATTCAAATAATTTTAATTACTTATTATATATTTCTAATTTTATTTTTAATTATCACAATCTTATTTTTTAAAAATATTCTAAATAGTTATTTGATATTATCTAATTATTATATTAGTTTAAAATTTCTTTTTTAGTAAAGATTATAGTATTTAACTTATTTCAAAATATATATAAGAAATTATATATATGACATAAATTATTTGTTGTTAACTTGATTTTCAAAATTCTTAAAAATAATTATATTATGTTTTAATGATGATTCAATTAATTGTACTAAATAATTGTATTAATTGCATCAAGGATCTATGGATTTTAGCAACATGTATATAAGAAATGTTGTTTCTTTTCAATATACAATATATCTTGTAATATAAGAATAAATAAAGAAATGATGCTTATTTACATTAAAAAAAAAATAATAAAATAATATAACTAAAATATTTCAATTTTTGACAAAAGTAATATTTTAAGTTATTTAATCATTTTGTAAAGTTTATTAAGAATAAAGTTATTGATTATATTTTACTTTTATAAAAAATTGTTATTTCAAAGTTTATTTAAAATTGAGATATACAATAATTATATATCAAATAATAGTAATCTTTAACTTTTTATGTTGAAGGTTTTCAAAAATGTTTTTAGAATCAATAATGATTTATAAAGTTATTAGTCGGTATTTAAAAATCTTTTTTTATAAAGTTATTATAGTTTAATATTGAAACATGCCTAATTTAGTTTACCAGTACCATATAAAATAAAGATATTTATATGGTTTTATTATTATATTTATAGATTAATTAGGTTTTAAATTTTTTACAATTTATAACTATTATAGTATTTATTATATGTTTATATTAATATAAACTAAAACTATTAGAACTTATCATACGAATGCTCGTATAATTTTACTAAGAATTAATAATTTAGATCGGCATTTAAAAAATTCTTAAGGTATTATCATTTTTGTATGATGAATACAACTGATATTTGAATATTCGAGATATGAATAGTTTTTCTCGTAAGAATGAAATTTTCTTTGATTAATTTACAATGTATAGATTTTCCTTTGAACTTAGTGCAATACATGAATATTGATGCGAATGTAATTGTAGTCCTATATAAGCTATTGTTACCGTTCATTCACCTCTAAAATTGTTAGCTCAACTCTTTCCAAAATTTTTCGACTCGCACTGTTAACCAATTTATATATCCCCCATATAGCCTTAAGCACTCCAACTAGAATTATAATAGAGAGCACAATAGCAGTGAACCAATCAGCGCCGCGTCCAGCACCTCTTCCACTTCCAGTTGGGCCGAATCTAAAACTATTCCATGATGGAATTGGTCCAAACCACATTAATGAAAGTAGCAATTGTAAAAACCCAACAAATCCTATAAACATAAAACCTAATGCTATATGTAAATAATCAATGGTGAGTATTGTTGTGATTGTGATAGGCTCTCCAAACAATGAATCACTTTCTTCGTCATCATACGAATCATCTTCAGAAAAGTAAATATAGAGAAGGAACTTTGCAAGGAATCCACCCACAAATACACAAAAGGCAAACAATGTAAAAGTAACAAGTGTGAGAGCAACTTGTAGGGTTAAAGGAAATAGCAAATAATTAGCAAATAATTTCTGTCATCCTTATTAAAAGGTATTATTACTTACGTTTATTTGTAGCAAATTTAGCCATCGTTGTCCTTCGAAAAGCGTATTTATATTTGCATTCATCGCATTGAAAAAAACTAGTTTTCTTTTGACTTCGTAGTCGCCAATGATTCAAGCATTCCACATGGACATACTAAAATAAAGTTACAAATTGATAAAAAATTTTTGAAGAAATGTTACAAAATATACCTTTAAAATCATACCCTCATAGTTCCTTTGCATAAACATGGTGAAATTAGGCGTCCTAAGCCATCCTCTTCGGGTCCAGAAAAACATATTCTACACATTCTATCATCTTGTATATCTGCTTCTATCGGTTTAGACTCCAGATCGTTCGTTTTTTCATGAGCTATTTCTCTTTCGCAACAAAAATCCCCTGATCTATTTGTAGATTCAACAAACTCTCTCGATTCTTCTATTGTGGTTTGAGGTGCATTCAGAACACGTGTTTTTCGTCCAAAATCCACCGAGCTCGACTCTCCGTATTCCTCATTTGTATTTAATTTTTGTGCATTACGAAGAGATTGCGTTGAGTCTTGAGGTTCGTCCATGTTTTAATGAAATGACAGGAAAATCACACCACATGTAAAAAATTTGATTTTAAAATCGGCAAATAAAAATTTACACAAATTTTCATTTAGCCATTCATAATTCACTTAAAATTATAATTTTTATATACAGCCATACAAGAATCAAACTAATACTTTTCTTTCATTAGTATAATTTGTTTGTACCATACTTCATATCGCAATGACATTTAATTTAATAGTACTGTAAATTTTAATTTTTAATAACATTAAATTACTTATTAAAAAAATATTTTTTATCAGTAATTAAATTTTACAAAAAACAAATTATATAAACTATTTATTAAATATGATTTTGAAAATATTTATTTATTTGTAAATTCAAATTATTATTTATGTATATTTTATTATTAAATTAAAATAAAATATATATATTTATATAAAAAAAAAAAAACTCTTTCCCGTACACAACATTTTTCTTAAAAATTTCCTTTTATAGTAATTTTTCTCCAAAATT